AAGAATACGAACATGTTCTTGCATGAGGCCCAATGATCTAAATAAAAAAGTTAAAGTGAACTAAATGATGAAAATGTATTAGAGACATTTTTTAACACTGTAGTTTACTCTATAGTTTGGAGGTTTTAATAGCTCTGTGATCTATTATTATTATTATTATTATGTATAATTAACAAGTGTTTCTTGTGCAAGTGTTTTTTATTTACTTGTCTCACACATCATTTCCTGCAGGCGAGTGACTTGGATAATGTTCCAGAGGAGGTTGTTGCTCACAGCAGTAGGCAGGAGCTGACGAGGAAGCACAGTGATGACGGTGAGGATCGGTTTCAGCAAACTGTGCATCTGGATTAAAGCTGCATCACTGTACAAATTACWAATGTCTTCACTGATTTCTGTGACATTTTCTCCCAAGTGCTTCAAACAACACGAATCATTTATCTATTAAAAAAAACACACACACACACACAAAAAGAATTGGACTCTGATGGTGTTTCTGTTTGTCGTCTCAGTTTTTACGGTCATTGAAAATGGAACGGAGCGTTACCACCTGCCAGAGAGAAAAGCTGAGGAGTTACAGGTGAGAAACACATCAATCAAACAGAAAACATTCAATTAAARCAACTGTAGCTGTGCATTTGTTTTTAGAAGAATTATAGGCTTAATTGTATTTTTAACAATTTATTGGCCTTTCTGTGAGAACTGGCTTCATCCACTGACCAGTGCTTGAACTCTGAGAACTGAGCCAGCTCRTTCTGCATCCATTAATTACCCCTCCCACCCCACTCCATTGTCAGTGCTGAATTTTCCAGGACTTTATTTTTTTTTGTGGGAAAATTGCTTGTTTTCAGCCCAAGCAGACATGACTGCTGGCCTGCACCAGTACAGAGATCTATAGAAGTCCTACTTTCTGTGGTGCTGCGGCAGTCTGACGCAGAGCTGYTGGTGCAAAACTCATGCCACAGAAGAGGAAAAAAATAAATAAAAAAGAAAGGTTAAACCTCTTCAAATCACCTCCTGTGGATCAGCAATGAATATTTCATAAGCGCTCTTTCCCCCTCTCTATCTTCTCCTTCACGGCGGAGTTTGTGGGAGGGGATTTCACTTGTGTTGTACAAACGTTCCCTCCGCAGACATCTGTCCTGTTTATTTTATTCGTTTAACGTGTTTACCTCAGTTGTCGCCAGTGGAAAAAGGACGGCAGATAGCTGGGCAGACACAAAAGCGAAGGAAAGCACCGTACAAGGGGAGCTCAGAAACGTGTTCTGATACAGTACGTACCTGCCTTTCTGCAGRGCACTCATCCATCACAGGGAGGAGGTCCTGAGGTGCGTCGTGCAGCGTTTTTGGAGCTGGAGAGAGCACAGCTGGCAGCGGGCAGTTTGTCAGCCAACAGGTTCATTAGCTCAGGGGCTGCTGGACGGACAGATGGAGTCTCTGCGGGGTAATGAGCAAAGAAAAATGCTCAAAAACAGTTCTTTTGTCGCCAAAGAAGCGACGACGAGTGCATGGCAATGCACAGAGTCACACACAGGAAGGCCATCTGCTCACGCAGTTAGTCTGATAACATCTTTTGTWTTGGTTTATTTTTTGCTCAGATATTTTTTTTGGGCTGAGTTTAACAGTAAAATTTCCAAAAATGTTGCTCTATGCACTTTTTTTTAACATTATCTCGCACTTGAAATTCAACAAGAGAAGGAGGTTATTATCTCGGCTTCCCACTGTTCCAGTCACAGCGTCAAGAGACCCTTAAGGCCATGGAGCAGCTATTAGTTYGCTCTTTTTTTTTTAGTTGGCTCCAAATAGATGGCCACTGCTTCATGTTGCTGTTTGGACCCCGGGGCCGTGGCAGCAGTTTGCCTTGTGGCCTCCGTTAACTCGGCTCATCCATCACCTTCTTCAGGGACACTCGGGAAGCCGTTTCACTTCATTATAGCAGCACAAAGATGAAGAAGTCTCTCGCCGTCCAACAAGAGCAACCATTAAATATCCTAGAAGGAACATTTTCTCTCTATCTTGTTTCTGTGCGGGGACGGGGGAGGCTTCAGTCTGGGTGGGATTCAGACTCCTTGAGGTATCAGGTGATGAAACAGGAAGGAGCGCCCACTGCTTTTTTTTTATCAGCTGCTGCAATAAGCGACAACGTGGCGGCACGCGCTGCCTCCCTGCTAATTGTGCTGACACGTCTCTGAGAACTTCCTTCCTTCCCTCACCCACACACACACCCATCCTCTTTTAACTTGTTAAAAAAAACAACCTGATCCTGTTTCGTCCCACTCACGCTGAGTGAGGATTTAAAGGAACAGATTGTGACATAAAGAGCACCTCAGTCTGTCTGGGTGCCGTGAAGTGGCTTTCCACTGCTAAAGTGAACACAGATTCCCTATTTTAGGAACTTAACTGCAAACAGGAAGAGTGACGACGTTAAATGGGAATATGTTTGGTGGTTTTGTTTAGATGGAGCGGGTGCAGAGAGATGCGCTCAAGTTCAACACCTACGTGGCCTTGTACAGCTTCAGTGCACAGCAGAGCCATGAGCTTGAGATGAGGTACACACACACACACACACACACACACACACACACACACACACACACACACACACACACACACACCAACTCTAATCAAAGCATACCATGACCCCCACCAGCTTTACTCAGTGCATCACAGCTCCAGGCCTGCAGATGAAACATTACTGTCTGACTGACTCGGACAAAACGAGATGTAAACTGAGAAGCTGAAGCTCCTGCTCTGCAAACTCATCTCCTCTGTAGCAGTGATTCAACTTTTCATTTGACATGTTTTTACAAGACTTGATTATGAAGAAGAGGTTTTAAGTTCTAATTACAAATCTTAGTCATAATTGTTGAATTAACGTACGATGCGTGACTGTACACTGCAAAAGTTAGCCATTTAAAAATAAGTAAATAATATCGATTATAGTCTGAATTTTCTCAAATTAAGTGATATAATCTGCCAGTGCAGTAGAACAGTTGCACTAGGTAAGACTTCTTGAAATAAGAACATTTCCAGGCTAACAAGATTAATAATTCATAATAATCATGTTTAGAGAAATGAAGACCCTAAACCCAGACCCAAACCAGTCATCATTCCGTATGTGGCGGGAGTTTCATAGAAACTGAGACATTTATTCTCTAAACATGGCGTCCCAGTGGCTTTCAAACCCCAAAACACGTTACGACAAAGATTAGTTCACCCCAAAGATCCGGTTCCCCAACAAAAACAGAGTAATATAGTATATGCTGTTAAGGGTCAGGAGGACTGTGATCAGTCATACATTGGAGAAACAAAACAGCCACTGTTCAAAAGAATGAGCCAGCACAGACGAGCTACTTCGTTGGGTCAGGACTCTGCAGTTTACACTCATCTACAGGRCAGCGGTCACTCTTTCAGGGATGAAGATGTTCTCATCCTTGATAGAGAGGAACGTTGGTTTGAGAGAGGAGTAAAGGYAGCCATCTTTGTGAAGAAAAACCATCCACCATTAAACAGAGGTGGAGGCCTTCGTGTCCAGTTGTCCTCCTACTACAATGCTGTAATTGCAAGTGTGACTCAGCCCCCTGTGAGCAAAAGGTGTGAATCAGGGCCCCAACGATACCAACACAAAGAGGGAGAGAGGGACAAAAACAAGGGGACGTCAAGCRCCGCTTGCATTCACTACATACACATAACACAACACCTAAGAACCYCAGCATCCAAACCAATAAGTCAGGTGATGGGGCACATGACCCTCTATGAACAATAGAGCTAATCAAGCTTAGTGTTAGGTGATGGCCCTCTTTTGCATGTGACTAACCTGTTTGTCCACCATGTGGAGGCAGTGCTCTTAAGGCTGAGTTCACCTGAAACTCATCTGACTGAAGTCTGTTGGAGGAGAGACGAAACGTTTCACTAAAGATGAACCCATCCAGAGGACCTACTTATTTTTTCTTTTTGATTTTTTCTTCCTGGATTACTGAGATGCATCAGGACAATCTAACACATTCTGCTCTTGCTCAGTGAATCAGTCTCAAAACAAGATCAAAAAACAGTTGGAAGACTTTGTTAGATTGATGATTATTTGCTGTGTAAATAACATAAATAACTTTTTTTAAGTYATTCATATCACTAAACATCTTTTGTTGCTTAAGTTTTTGATAAAGATAATGTTAATATTGAGAAATGATAGTTTTAGCCACTTTGAACAAGCCTTGAATATAAAGTCATGTGCAATCTCATGCAYTAGTCATGAAAACATGTTGTGAATTAATCTCAGCTACTGTCACCCAAAATAAGAGCTTAATGTCGGCAAAACTGACTGACTTATAGCCAAATTTGTGCTTTTTAAAGACACTTCGCTGTGGCAGCCATCTTGAATTGGATAGACTCCAAAAATGAAAGAGTTGTAGATGTATGTCCAGTGATCATTTCCTGAAGGTTTCCCTTAAATCTATTCATTGGACCTTGAGATATATTGATAACAGACAGAATTTATAGCAATAAAATTTAATATATCTTGTGCAATCTGTTAGTGCTCTGAATTTATYTTGGACATGACTTTCATCTACTACTACACCAAATTTGAGGTCAGTGTCTGTGAAATTGACAGAGTTTTAGCAATTTTTGTCCACAAAGAAGCAGCTAAATGTATATTTTGTACACTCAGAAGTCCCAGTTTGTTCACAGCCCAGGTTGCAACATAAAACTACTGTAGTAATTTTATTGAAAATAAATAAATAAATACATACATAAAAAAACAATTAGCATGCTCTTTTCTTTAACTTTGTTCCCACATGAAAAGCTGTAGTTCTCTGGAATGGTCTTGTTAATGCTAGCTGAGAGTTTACATTATCTGTTCTTATCTTATCAGCCTTTTATTTTGATGGATGATATTTGGAAATTRCATTTATATCTCCCCATAAAGGTATTAGATAAGATGGGAGCTACTTTATTTGGCAGATAATACTAGTTTGATTTATAGAGGATAAAATGGTGAGATGCTCACATTTTTCAGCCCAGCAGTAAAAGCATTAGATGCCATCGTAATTTTAAAAAATAGACACTGGACAAATGGAGTCAAAATCACATTTGGCATAAGCATCACTTTGGTTCCCAAATTACCCTCATTCTGTTTTTTTTTTAATGTGCAAAACTGATTTAGAGGACGGAAACGACATGAGATCTGGAAGTAAATAACTGATTTATTGACAACTGATTACAGATGTTTCATTTTTAGTCTTTTCCCTTCACTTCAGCCTGATATTTATGGGTATTTTATAAGCAATTTGATTTCACAAGCTCATATAAATCTGATTAAATATAATTTTGTTCTAGTTGCTGTAAGTGATAATGTCAWAATGTTAGATTTCATACTGCTATTTCAGCAACTGATATAGTGATTTATAACATATGAAAATGTACAATCCACAATAAATATTTTATTTAGAAACTGAAGCAGCTATAGGTGGGTGAGAGCCTATATATTTATTGTATTTATATTTATACAGCTACATTATTTCCTGCTGTTCTCCACATTGTAAAATTATCTGTCTTCCTAAAAAAGGGAAGAAGATTCAAAACAACCAGCAGGCACAATCAACACTAATCCAATCCAATCCAGCTTTATTTGTGAAGCACTTTTTGCACCACAGCAGACCAAAGTGCTCTACAGAATCAACACTCAAACAGCTCATGCAAAACAAATTGAATAAAAAAAATAGGAAAAAATAAAAGCAGGAAATAAAAACAGCAAAATGCCTAAACCCGCATTTAAAATCTACAAACAAAATCAAGAACATTTCTACAAAAAATAATTTCTGGTACAAATGGACGACCACTTACAGTGAGTCAAAACCAAAGAAAACAAATGGGTTTTCAGACAAGTTTTGAAGAGTCTGATCTGGAGGGGGCAGCTCGTGCCAAAGTTTAGGAGCTGCTGCAGCAAAAGATCAATCAAAGCAAAGTTACTGGAGAAAACTTGTTTTTAGGCCACATAACAGAATTTTGCTCTGCAGTGTGATAAAAACATGTTTTCCTTATGAACTGGCATATTATACAGACAAGGGTCAAGCTTGATGAAATAATTGATTTTTATTCAATGTCAGGTCATTTATAAGCAAACAATGAGTGTCACGTATCAAAGTAAAATGGAGATATTTAAGAAGACACGATATGGAGAAACTTTCTTTATACATCAGTGATTTTATGTTTTAAAGACTAAAGTTTGATGGTCAAGGTCTAGATTTCATTCACTGTGTAGATTTAGTATCTTGTGTAAAATACTTTTAAAATAGACTTCAAGGGAGAATAAAAGCAGTCCTTCAGATTAAATGCTTTTTTTCTACTTACAGCACATCTCTTGGTGATATAAGGATCAGATGCACTTGTTGTATTTTGTTTCCTCTACACACAAAGCTTTCTTATTTTATTTAACCAGGAGTATCCCACTGAGTTCACAGATCGCCTTTTTTAAAGAGGCTTAGTGGCACAATTTCATCAGGCCCTTCATTTTGGTCAAATGAAGCCGTCAGCTTTGAGCAGATGTTTGTAATTACTGAGGCGAAAAGATGCAATAATTCATTCAGTTTAGTCTAGAAAATTAATAAACAAGATTAAGTCTTCAAATCGAGGCCACCTTTATATTATTTGCATATTATCCCCAAAGGGGCTGAAATGAATCATTATAGCTCTTCTTCAAAGGTTTACAGTAAATAATAATTACTGCAGTATCTGTGTTGTTGCTGCAGGCAGAAGTCCCTCATAACTCACACGAGTAACAGATATTTCTCCTAACAGGAAGAAAGTCTGCAGGGATTCGTGTTGCAACAGGGCCCCCCACTGGTTTTATTCTGTCAAGTTGATCAGCTTTTCTCTTTTTAACTTCTCTTTTTTATTGTTTTATAGAGCAGGAGACAGAATCCTACTGGCTGATGATTCCAATGAAGATTGGTGGAAGGTAGGTATGAAACCAGGAACTGCACCATAACTTGACTCGTGGACTTTTTATATAAATGTATATTTTTATTTAAATTTAAATTTAAATTTGAGCTTATTTGTCTCTCTAACGAGCTGCTCGGCGCATTTGCACATTTTGGATTTTTGTTCAAAGCCTCCAAAATAATAATAAAAAAAACTAAATGATTAACAAATTGCAGGAAATGAAGCTGAAAATTAATGCTTTCCTGATAAATTAGGGAGACAAAAGGACAGAGGCACGACTTTGCAGAGGCGGCGTGTTGCTATCAGAGCATGAAGAAACTTGTTAGGCTTTTTAATATTTTCTGTCCTCTGCGGCATGAAGATAAATACATTTTCAAAACAACAGACACCAAGTTGGAGACAAATATTACAAACACTAAATTAATCTTCATCTTATTTTTTTTTCTGGATAAATGTTTGATGAGTTAATTTGACTTTATTTTAGGGGATTATTGAAGACAGGATCGGTTATTTCCCAGCAGCCTTTGCTCATCAGCTGCAGGACAGAGAACAAGTGTTCAGGTGCATCAGGACTTTCATCGGCTGCAAAGAACAAGGACAGATCACTCTGAAGGAAGGACAGGTACTCCGGCTGATTTATCTGAATATAAAACATGACAAAGAAAAAAAATCTGTGACACATCTCATCCAACTGAGGATTAGGCCACAAACGGGTGTTTGGAGAAACAGGCAGCTTTAGTTCATTGGTTAAAATGTTTGCAATAATTGCATTTCGTCAAAATATAATGAAAATAATGATTACCTTATCAACGGATCCTTTGGATGAAAAGTCTTAAATAAAATGTTAGATATTTTTTGTGCAGTAGCAACAAAAAACGCAATTTTGAGCAGAAAAGTTTTGCATTTTTTTGCCTTTCCTCAGTAAATCTCAATATTCACATAATGTTTGAGGTTTCCTCTTTAAAATGATATCAGCAATTCTCATTAAAACACACTCAACAAAGATTCTACGTTGTATTTCCTGCGTAGCGATGTTTTAACATATCCTCTCGTAAACACCAAAAAGTACTATGTGCAGGGCCGGATTAACACTTCGCTGTAACCCGGGAAACAATGTTAAAGGGCCCCATCATCACGACCCCAGGATCACCATAGTCTTGCAAAATACAGAGTAAATTACCACAATGTATAGTAAATATATTCAATACTTTAAATTCCAAGTGTATTTTGATGTACAAATGCTCATAGAACTACAAACACACTACTACGTCCTCTTGTCCAGGACACTCCTTCACATGATGCTATGAAAACAAAACACATCAGTATAATCTGGTAAAATTAACCCACTACAATGAGATCGAGGGAAGTGTCCTACAATTTCACATAAGCGACTCTTGAGGTCACGCAACCCTCTCAGTGTACATTGACCAGCGTCACCTGACCCGCCTCATGTGGACTGACCAATGAGAAGAAGATCTCAACTCACGTTCACAGAGACAGGCAGCCTCTCTGTGCAGTGCAAGAGCTCCAGCAGACAGTTTAACAAAAGTGGGAGAAAACCAGATGTTTTGCTGGTGCCTTCACTCAAGGGTGTAACCATCATCTCAGAAGAGAGGGGGACACATTTTTTAGAGGCCTATTGAGTGATTTATCATGCTCTCACCTTAAATTTCTCCTCTCCTTAGTGGCTAAAACAGATATAACCACTAACAGCCACAGTACAGTTCCCGACAGACTTTAGTTTTTTAAACTATTTACTAACAAAATCTAAAGTTTTAACAGCCAAAAGGAAAACACCATTACTGTAAGCAAATTATTACTTAGCTCAATGTTGGCTTATAAGACAGATAATAGCATAAACATACACTCACCGGCCACTTTATTAGGTACACCACGCTAGTAAGGGGTTGGACCCCCTTTTGCCTTCAGAAC